TACCAAATTTTGAAACTATAAGTTTCTATTCAGTTTTTAAGCTTATGCACATCGAGGTTTATCTAATATATTACTAGTTTACCTTCCCATAGTAATTTCAAGAGTCTACTTAGGTTGAAACTTGACAAAAGTAGTAGAAACGTTTCTTATAGTTTTCCTTGAAATACTTATCATTATAAAAGGATAACTAGTATTATTTTCTTGAAATAAGTCGACAAACCACTTAATATCAAAGTTAGAAAGATACTTTGAAAATTTCTTTAAAGCTACGGTTCTTGCAAAAGTTATCACTAAAAACTATTTTACCTAAAATAAAGTTTCTTGCCGAGCAAGTTTCTACGTTTTTAATTAAAGTTATTAAAACTCTTATTTTGGAACTTTTCCTACCGACAACTATCCAAGGGTAAATTTTAAAGAAAGAAAAGGAATCAAAATAAGACTTAGGGTTTTCAAAAGCTAGAGAAATTATTTTCTATAACTATTAAGGCTAGTTTAAGCTAAAGGAAAATTGTCGGGTTGGAAAAATTTAGGCAAAACACTAAATACTGAGTTTTATCATCTAATACTAGCGGAAAAAAAAAATATATATATATATTTTTTAGCTTGATCAAAATTACTCGAGTTCGCAAGGTCGAAACGACTTTCATAGTTTCGATTCCATTTTGAAATCATATTGTGGATCAAATTTGTCGACATGGCAAAATCACATAGCAAATCACTAGGGCTTCTTCAATCATTAGCCCTAGATTTCAATAGATGCATTTCTGATCAAGAATAAAATGAATGACCAAGGCTTCGTCAATCATTAGCACTTGGTTTTGGCAAGCTCATCTCACATCTTAACTAAATAAAAATGAAGGTAAGGCCTCCAAGAAATTCCAGCAATTAAATTTCATCACCCTTTAATACTTATAAAATCATTCAAATGGCCAAGGGCTTCATCAATCATTAGCCCTTGACGACCATCAATCACATCCAACCATTATGTTTCAAAGAAAAATTTCAAAACCAAGCTGAGGTTCCAACTCAACCTTCGGCTATCACAAAAGAAATTCCAGCATTTATATGCCAACATTTTTGGTTCAATCTTTCAATATATCCAACTTTTCCTTGGCTAAAACATGGTTTTAGATTCTCAAATTCGTCATGTGAACCTTTGGCTAGCTAATTAACATGTCTGGTTCAAAATCGAATTCGAATAACAGCTTCAAACATCCCAAAAATCCAGAAATTGTATGTTCTTAATCTAGCTTTTTCCTTGGCTAAAACAGCATTTTAGGAACTCAAATTCAACATGCAAAGCCTTAATCGTATTAATCATCCAAGTTTAAGTTAACTAATCATAATCTCAGGTTTTGATCATCACAACAAAGCAGATTACATCATGAAATTCTTAATCAATTCTCGGTCAACCATTTTCTTTTCAAAACAGAATTTTCTTATGCCTTAACATCATCATCCGAGTCTAGATTCCACATGCAACACCCTAATCAACTTAATCTTTCACTTTTTAGTTAACTAATCATAATCTCAACCTCAGGTTATCAAAATTGGACAGATTAGAAACTGCATTACCTTGTTAATCTCTCGGCTGAACCATTTAGCCATCCAGTCAGATTTTTTCTTTTTCTAATGTCTCATCCGATGGTTTAAAATCAACATGCAAAGCTGGAACTAACTTATTCATCTTGTCTTAAGTTAGGGAGACACATCTTTAAGTTCAGATTGTCACAGGGAAGCAAAATAAAGCTACATTTCCAAACCAGTTCCTCGGCAAAAACATTTTCATCAAAACAGAATTTTTTAGTGTCTTGAATTCATCAACCGATTGCACAAGCAACACATGCAGGCTCTGATATGTCTTTATCTATTAGTAATTAACCTAATTTAGCCCAGCAATTACCTCAGATACAAGCTAAGCCTACGCACAAGAAGTCTGGAATTTCTTTCTTCCTCTCGGCTCTCACGCACGGCTTGGAGGGTTGGTTGCGGTTGCAGTGGTTGCGGCTGAGAACTGGTTGCAGCTGGTGGAGATGGAGGTGCAGGATGGTGAAGCTCACTCACGATTTTCTCCCTGGTTTCACTCCAGCTCACGGCAGAACCAGAAAATTTTGCAGCTCACGGCTTCTTCCCTCGGTTCCTCTTTGTCGATGATAACAAGACAAAGAGGAAATGTGGTTGTGGAGAGAAAGTGTTGTGGTCTGAGGGAATTTTGTGCAGAGGAAATGGAATGGTGGTTTGTGATATAGGAACGAAGAGGTAGAGATATGGTGCCGCGGTTTTGGAGAAGGGTTTGAGTGTAGGAAATGGTTGCGTATAGAATTGGTGAAAATGTGATTGGCCGATTGGGGCGGTGATTGAAATGCTGTCAGAGGGATTGTTTGGTTTTGCATGGAAATGTTGTGGTTGTAAGGCATTTTAGTCTTTTCACTTTGCTTCCTAACCTCTACTTAAATTCTCCATTCTAATCTTAAAACCAAAAATTATCCTCAAGTATGATTTGAACGCCTAATTATACACTAGTATACTTAAACCATTTTTTTTATCGAATATTTATCGATTAACAATTTAATATTAAGGTTCCTAGTAATTCCTAACATTATTTAGTGATTAAATTAGTTATCAGAATTTCCAATTATTTATTCTCAAGAGATAGAGTTAGTCTAACTCGAAATTTATCAATTTAGTAATATAAAGTCAAATGAAATAATAATTTAATACAAGTGTGTCAGTTTGCACATAAAAATTATTTTTTTTTACGCACTTATTGTGAAAACAAAGAAGGATAAGACTATAATTATCAAAATTTCATAACTTAGGAAAATTATATTAATTTTCACATAAACCTATTTTTACGTACTTAATTGCGAACAAGTAAAAGTAATGCTAGAAATTATTAAGGAATAAAAGAAATGCAAATGAAATATGCACTGGCTTATATATCTATTTTCAGGGTTCTCACAATCTCGATAAGCCATGAGAATAATATGATAAGTTTGATCTATTGAAGAGATCTTGCTTGGCCTACTCGTGCAGTGGCGCCTTTATCGTTGTTCGGGCCCGGTGGGGGTTTGTAAGGTGGACGGACATGAGAAGTAAGTGGAGTTCTACGGATTGGAAATATCGACCCGGTTGACGGAGAGTTCTCACGGGAAGATATTCGAATGAAATTTGCAAAGCAAGTGAAAATTAGTTCCTGAGAGCTACAATATTCTTGAATTGTTTCTGTTTACTTTTCTCGCTCGAATTATTATTTATTGCAATATTATTGCTTTACTTGTTAAATTGAGATTGTTACTTGAACAACGTGCCTGCATGTGTGTTCTTGGCCTCACGAGCGTTTCGCTCACCCTGTAGATTTATTTTCCTTAACAGGAAAGGATCTGAAGTGAATCTCGGAGAAATCCCTTTTGAATGTACTTTGGTATTAGGGTTTTCAATGTACTGGGTTAGACTCTTGATTATTGTATATTTTGGAATTTGATGTAACTTTTGAGAACTTGATGTAAGGATTGGATACTTGATGTATTTTGAAATCCATGATGTAAGTTTGAATGTTATTTATGGGAGTGACCTCCCTTTCTCACTTATACCATCGTGATAGCTGGTATTTCATTAAGATTGAACGGGATTTGTCTTGAGTCCTGGCGAGAGTTGGGCAGATGTTCCGCGGATACCCTTTGGTTCACCTTAGGGAGAAATGGGGGCGTCACAGACTTGATATAGCGCTATTTGAAATCAAGTTCAATTCGATCGAGCTTGAAATTTTTACAAATCAAGTTTGATTTGTTAAGATTTCTGAGATGCTCATTAATCAAATAGCTCACAAATAATGCTATGAGTCGACTAGGGGTGTAAATGAGTCGAGTCATTTCAAGCAGTACTATGCTCGAGCTTGAGATCAAGCTTGAGATCAAGTTTGATGCGTCAAACTTGAGCATCTTCTCATGTTTGACGCATTTGGGTTCGACCAACCTCAAGCCTAATCGAGCTTGAACTCGAGTTCAATTAGAAAAGGAGGTATTTTGAAAATTTACAAGAACTTAATACTTGTTTAAGTAAAAATGATTAATACTCGACTCGTTTGGCTAAAGGAACCACTTGAGATCGACTCAAACTCGGTCAACGCCAAGTCAAGTTGATCGTTTGACCAATCAGCTCGCGAGCAATTCGCAAACTACTTAGGTCGTTCGCATCCCTACACAAAATAAGGTGCAAGGCTTTCTTGATTCTGTGAATGAATGAAACCCAAAAGACAAAAAAAAATTCCCAAGGCCAGAAAAACAAAGAAACATAGGAAAAAAATTAGAGATGGAAATTCGGAGGCTTTTTATTAACAATCTTATATTTTCTCTCTTACATCAATGAACCAAGGAGGAGCGATTTTATATAGACTATCAACTAACAAATCCTATTAGGACTAAACATACCAAATCGTACTAATAATCAAAACCACAACTAAACAATGAAATAAGTAGTTTTCTAAATAAAATAAACTAAAATAAAAGGATTTGGTTTAAATATCCTACATAAATTCATAAAAGTGATGTTATGTTCCAAAATTCTCAACTTTTCCGGATCTTTTTACATACTCAAATTTTGCCATTATCTTGCCAAGTAAAATGCTAATGATATTAAGAACTAATTCTGATCTTTTGTATTGAAACTTTATCATTTACTTGCTAAGTAAAATGCTAAGGATGTTAAGAACTAATTGTGATCTTTGAAGCGTATCACTAGTTCATATAAAACCACTACACTGCTTTGATTCTTCATACTTTACAAACTACTTTTACATAGTCGAACCTATTTGTTTAAGTTTTTTACTCTTTCCTGGGCCAATTTTCACTACATCCGCAATTATTGAGCCATACTTCGAGGACTTCTGTTTGTGAGGACCTCTTTTGCAATTTACCAACGTGGGATTCCGAACTTTTACCCACCATAGCCAAATCCCCCGTTCCCGCCACTTTCACAACCCCCCCCCCCCCCCCGGCGCCCCAAACCACCCATAACACGCACCAAACAGCACAAAGCCCAAAATATAATATCGTCACCTCCATCTACTCTTCTCTGCAAAACCCAGAGGAAAAATGTTGTGGGTTGACAAGTACCGCCCAAAAACCCTAGACAAAGTTCTAGTTCATAAGGAAGTCGCTGAGAATCTCAAAAAGCTGGTAATTTGTTTGTCCGATTAAGCATTTTTGGCAATTAATCTGTGGTTTTTTCTTCTTAAATTGGATTGTTTTACTGTTATTGTATACTTCTAGGTTACAGAGCAAGATTGTCCGCATTTACTCTTCTATGGGCCATCTGGGTCAGGCAAAAAAACCCTAATTATGGCCCTCCTCCGCCAAATGTTTGGACCTAGCACCGATAAGGTGATTTTTTGGGCTTTTAGATTTTCTTTTAAAACTTTTAGATGTTAATTTCTGCTAATTTTAATTGGTTAATTGACTAATGTGAGTGCAGGTGAAAGTAGAAAATAAGACATGGAAAGTAGAGGTAAGATTTTAGTGCTTTGCTTTTTCATTTTTCTTTCCTTGTGTTCTCTGCTAAATCTCTCCACCTGCATATATACGTTTGATAAAAAAAAAAGCTTATGCCTTTTAATATTTTCTTTAGTATTTTTGGGAAGCAAAACTTAATAGCTTAGAAAATTTAGGTTCTTGGCATGTTCAAGGTTATAGGTAAGATCAGAACTTTTGGCATTTTAGTTTAATATAGCGAATGAAGATCTATGTAGTGATAAATTTACTTGCTTTTTAGTTTTTCTTACTAAACAGAATACAGTACTCAAGCTGATTGTATTATAGATGAGAATTAGGTAAGCAAAAATAAGATGGCAGATGAGGTACTTGATAGAAAGACTTGCATTTTATACGATTATCTGGTTTGGCAGGAGAAGGTTTTAGTCGAGTTTTACTGTTGCTTGTGTTTGCTTTTAATATTGCATTTGTCTGATTGATGAGAAAACTTCCAATGAATATAACTCCATTTGAGTTTTATTGGCTCATGTAGAATTGTTGAGTGGAATTTTACTCCTTGCAAACTTAAGTGGCCATTGATGATACATTTGTGTAGGCATTTAGATTTTGTGGCTTGATGCATTAGCTGTTCTCATTTGTTTTCTTTTTGATGGTTCACATTTTCAGGCAGGGACTCGTACACTTGATATAGAGCTTACAACAATGTTGAGCACCCATCATGTGGAAATGAATCCTGCTGATGCAGGATTTCGGGACAGATATGTTGTTCAGGAAATCATCAAAGAAATGGCAAAAAATAGGCCACTTGATGCTAAAGGAAAGAAGGGTTTCAAAGGTAAAATAGTTGTTTGGGCTTTTAAAGTTCGTTAATTCATGGACAGTTCTCAGAATTAGTTTAGAAGTCATGCTGATCCGTTGACTATTTTTGTTGCTAAAATGTTGAGGAAATACTATGAAGCCCGGATGATTGACTTACTAATTTTGTGATGAACCTTTTCCCATTTGTGATATTGGACCAGTTGATAGCATAATGATAATTTATGAACCAAAAATCCAGACAAAGGAAACTTAATGGAAGACAGATTTGAGGAATGTAAAAGAAGAATGGAAGTAAATGCATTCTGAATACTGAAGTGCTTGGTCATCCAAGGCATCTAAATAAATTTGTTGTATGCTTACAGAATGACCAAATAAGGAACACCAGTCAATCGGAAAGTGATGCCTAGAAACACGGATAGTTGTGTGTGAGTGTGTCTGCAAGTCTTTTTTCATGAATCCAAGCTTGAAAAAAGAAACCATAAAATTCATCTTATGTGCTAATGATAGTTAACAAATCAAATTTCTGCCTTTCTGTTTCTTCTTTGAAAGATTATATGAGCTTTTTATCTCTTTATGCTCATCATCATTAGGATTGGGGGTGCCGACCTTGCTATTAGTTTCATTGGCTCTTTTCTTTTGCAGTGACTGATTATAATATATATGAACTGTATTATTAGTTTCGCAGGCTTTTTATCTCTTTATGCTCATCATCATTAGGATTGGGGGTGCCGACCTTGCTATTAGTTTCATAGGCTCTTTTCTTTTGCAGTGACTGATTATAATATATATGAACTGTATTATTAGTTTCGCAGGCTTTTTATTTTCTGCAATGACTGGATATATTGTTTAAGTTTATGTGTGGCTTAGATGTTACGTTGCTTCAGCTTCTTTTAAAATGTTTACCTTTCTCCAGTTTTTTTTTTTCAATTTATTGGAAAACTGTTTTAGGCATTCTTGGTGCATTCTCAGTATGCGTACCTCACCTTCTTGAATAAATCGAAAAGGTTATTGGCGCATGCCTTTCGCTTTGAGGCATAGCCAAACCTAATAGGAGGCAGTGATGTAACAGTTTCTGAATTGTTTGTAGAATATGAATATCTCAAATTCTTATTTCAGGATGTATAAGCATATTTTGTTGTCCCTTTTACTGGGATTTGATCAAATAAAGTTATTCAACAAATAAAATGCTAATTGACATTAAACCACCATCAGAATAAATACAAGCTGTGAACAAGCACAATGTTCACAGCTTTTTTTCTTCTTTTTTTTTTTTTTTTTTTTTTTTTTTTTTTGCTTTTTCAGTTGCTCCAGTCACATGCTAGAATAAAGAACTAACTTCTAAATCTTGGCTCTGAACCTTTGGCCTTGGTGATCTAGAATTCTTGTGCAACTCTTGTTACTGGTTCATTGGTGTGCTCTCTTATTGTCCCTTATTTTTCTTCCATCTTCTCAAGCTAAAATCTTGTAATGAAAATTTGCATTGTTTATCATCATCATCATCATCTTATTGTTATCCTGTTATCTGTTATCATCACAGTCAGCTATTATTATTGCTCGGGCACTTTTTCGTGGATGACCATTGAGAATCTATATGTGTCCAATTACTCTTGCGAAGTTTCACAGGAGCTGACTCTGTATTGCTGGTTCTAAAGTAATGCTTAGCCTCTTGCTTTCACACTTTAAAAACAGCTTGGGGAGTGTGACATGTATTGGTCAAACATATAAACACATGGGTAGATAGCTTGGTGCTTCACAGATCATTCTATGTAATGTTGCTAGCACTGAACATTAACTTTTGCTTTTCTCCTTTTTTTTTGGTTGTTCTCCAGTATTGGTGCTTAATGAGGTTGACAGACTTTCTAGAGAAGCCCAGCACTCCCTTAGAAGGACAATGGAGAAGTATAGTTCATCGTGCCGTCTGATATTGTGCTGTAATAGTTCTTCAAAGGTTTCTGAAGCAGTTCGCTCTCGCTGCCTGAATGTTCGAATAAGTGCACCTACTGAAGACGAGGTTAGTGATGAATTGCTCTATTTTAATCAGAACAGCTTTTTTTGTGACACTGCTGTTTTCCTTCTTCTTTTTGGGCCTTTGGTTGGGGGGCGGGGTGGTGGGGGGGTTGTGTGTACTGAAGAAAGTAAAGTAGAAATTTTGGACCATTCAGCTCTGTTTTTTTCAGTTCATCCCTGTGAATAAATAATACCTGTACCATACTACTTTTGGTAGATTGTTTATTAACTAGGCTTGCCCGTTTCATAGCTTAAGTATGCAGTTATAGATGTTCTAAAGTGTAAGCTGCTTTTGAGAACCCATAAAATATAAATCTGAGTCAAAGTGGATTTATGGCCTGGCTGGGAAATTATCATAGTTTTTTTGTCCCTGGCTTGGCTTAACATATTGATTTGTGATTTTTACAAAGGGAGATGGATGTAAAGAATTGTGAAAAAATAAATTCATACTGATTGTTCATACATAAATTGCAATTAACATATTAAAGCAACTTGGTTTTCATCCTTGCTGTAAACAGGACAGCTTATTGTACTAGCAATGATATGATACCATAAAAGTAAAATTTTATATAGAAGCTTGATATGAGTAGAGAATAGATTAAGGACTGTAAAGGCCAAGGGTACAAGCTAGTATTCTATAAGCAATTTTGGGCCACAGCTTTAGTTGAGAGTCAAGTATGCTATTTTTGGCCATTGATAAATGGTTGTCAAGTTAATACCTAAAATGGTTTTTGGTTTTTCAGAAAGTTTGAAACAAAGTAAAGCTTTCATTATGCTAAGCAGCTTTTTAAATATCATTCATCTTCAAGCAGCTTTAGCTGAAGCAATTAGAACTGCTCCTAGCATTCGTGAACTATTGATTTTGTGACTCTGTGTTGGTTAAATCATTGTCAGTGGAAATAGTATAGTGATAATTGTGCATCAATTATCATAATATCCAATGAAATCAAATACAGCTAGCTTTGAAACTGAATGATGAATCACTTCTGTGCACAATCATAATGGCCGTTTGTTGCTTTCATTCTTTTTTTGGGTGTAAATTTTATAAAAGTATGATTGCGTGTTAGAAACTTAGTTTCCCTTTTCCCAGTTGGCAAAAAATTATCTTCCAGGATAATTCAAAGAGATAAATGATCTTCAAGATTATTTGGGATATTTAAAGAAAAAAACTACATCTATGGCCTGCTCATTATAATTGGAAGAACTAATTCCTACTTTTAGCCTTGTGTTATTTTCTGCAAGTTTTGTTGAATATTTACCTAATTTCAATGGCATATCACATGTAAGCATGATGTTTTTATATTGCTAAGTCTGGAGGTTGTAATATTTTCATTGACTTGCATTGCTTGCTGGCTTGAACCATCTTATTTGTCAATCATTTTTTTCTTTGTGGCTTAATCCTGTAGAATGCTACTATGAGTACAATAGTATTTATCTGGAATCTGGTTACATGCATGTGATTTTTAGAATTTCTTATTTCAATTCTTACACCCACTGTTTATTGGATGCAGATGGTCAGGGTGTTAGAATTTATTGGAAAGAAAGAAGGTTTGCAACTACCTCCAGGATTTGCTGCACGCATAGCTGAAAAATCAAACAGGAGTTTGAGGAGAGCAATATTGTTATTTGAGACTTGCCGTGTTCAACAGTTAAGCTCCAAAAACATCTGGATAATGTGAAGAAACTTCATGAAATATTGCATCAAACACCTGTGGAAAATATACTGAAAATTCATTACAATTCGTACCAAGCATTTTGATATATAATGTATTCTTATGATTTGGATTTGTACCAATTGTCATTTCTGGTGGTTTGTTTCTTTAGGTATCCTTTCACAAACAACCAGGCAATACCACCCATGGATTGGGAAGAGTACGTTTCAGAAATTGCATCAGACATAATGAAGGAGCAGAGCCCTAAAAGGTGTGCTGAAATTCCTGATTGTTGCCTATGTTTTATTTGAATTTTTTTCTTTGAATTTTTTGGAGTGTGGTTTATTTAAATTCCCTTTGCTGGGATTGATTAATTGTTTGCGGGAACGTTGTGATTTTTTTCATCTTGTTGGAATAAGAAATAAGAACATCAGGGAAAAGTAAGCCTATGAGTAGAAAAGAGATTTTCATTTATTTATTGGAATTGGAAGAGGTAAAATAGGTGGAGAAGAGGTAAAATTGGTGGAAAAGAGGTTCAGATTTTTGGGTGGTACAACAATATGTTTTAGATCTCTTCGGATAATATGGAAGATAAAAGTGGAACATAGAGGATTAAAGATCTTGATGGAGAATGGAGATAAACAAGGTGAACCAAGAGAACAGGGGAGAGTTTAACAGAAAATGAAGAAGGGGTAAACGACACGAATTGCAAGAGGAGGGGAGATCATGAAGCATCAGTTGTATAATAGTAGACCAGAGGCTTAGTTTTCTACAGCGTAACGGTTACCTAGACTTTTACCCACAAGGAGTAAATGGGGAATCATTGTGATTATAATGGCAGTATCTGGGTTACTATCTCCATATTAAGTTTTTAATAAACTTTTAAAATTATTGCCGCTTTTATTTGGCTTTCAATGGAAGTCAAACTTTGCTATCATCGTCATCAGAGTTGAATATACAAAATTCGACATTGCTTTAATAGTGTGACCAAGTTTGAATTGTAACATTTGGGAACTGAAGTCAAGGTTGTAGTTATCAAATTCTCTAGTAATTAGGAAAATAATAATGAAAAATATAACCACAGGCCCAAGTGATTTTCTTCTCCGCTTTGCTGCGACATGCTTCAGATGTTCCTCCTTCTTGACCTGCTCACACAAGAGAGCTGAAAACTCCTCTCTGGTCCTCCATCTTTTCATGTTAAAGAGACGGTCAAAAGGACCTGGAAGTCTGTGCCTCATCCTAATTATGCCAAACTGCTCCTTTTCTGTTTACTGGAGTACATATATAATGTGCCCTTTCTGCCTCCAAGAACTGAAATGTGCCCTTTCAGCCTCAAAGAACATGATTTTAATTGCAAGTCCATGGTTATCTTGTGGCCAATTGCATGTTTTTCAAGTCCAAGAGATGATAAAAAGGACTTTTAAATTTGTTTCCATGAGCAGAAGCGTAGAAGAAAGAGAGACTGCAACTCCTTGTGTTGAAGCACAGAAGAAAACCTTTTTTGTTTGGTTATGAATTACTAAAAAAAAAGTCAAAGGTTGTCTTTTCTAAGTTTGACTTCAACTTTGACTTTAAAAGTCAATACATTTAATTCGTTTTGGAGATTGAATAAACACTTTTGTTTGCTTTAAAATTGATCAGAAGCCTAATAAAATATATGTCTTAACCATTAATTCTATTTGTTCCTAAAAATGTAATACAGGTGATTAGTTGTAAGGGAAAAGAATGACTACATCAAACTGAAGATCTTATTCATGCTTTGTCCTTTCACATACAGAAATAACTCTCTATTGAACATGAGCAATAAATTAAGGTGTCTGTGTTTTCTAAATATGTTAGTCCTTACTTGCAAGTGTGCAAAATAAGACACCACCGCACACGTCTGACTCTTTTGTGGCATTGCCATAGACACATACCTGTATGGACATCTGTACCTGAGTTCATCTAACACAGCTGCCTAGAATCTGAACCAGATTAAACATGTTTCCATTCCCTTTACTGATTTTCTGGAGTTCCAGATCTCCTGACAATTGAAAAGCATGTATGTTTTACAACTGTGAAATCAACACATAGAAACAGATTTCAGCTAGAAGTAATGACTAGTTATATCCTAATTGGGGGTAGAAAGCAATTTATAACTGTCTTCATGGTACTTGCTTGAAGTTGAACCAAATTACTAATATGTGGTATGTATTCACTTCTCTAGAACCATTTATGGACTGCATAATCTGTTCTAAGGATATTGGAGCATTACACTTTTATGTCTTAGATACTTACTTGACTTCTGATTACTCTTTCCTTGTGGTTTAAAATAGAAAAGTATATCTTGTAGCTTCTAAAAGAGAACTATGTATTAGCATTGATGATCCTAAATTTGGTTGAAAAAAATGAAAAATGAAAAATGAACAAAAAAATCAACTTAACATTTATATATGCTAGTTGCTATATTGGAACTTCAGCTGTAATGTGCAGTCAGGCAAAGTACAAGGGTTTGAGGTGCCCATGACTTTGAGATGCTTCTATGGATGACTTCTCCTAAATCTTGGAGTATGAAAAATGTTTCAATGTGAACATCCTGCTCCTAATGGATCTTTAAATAGCATGCAATATCACCAAAAGATTAGAAATACTATCAAAAAATTGTCTAAAAGTGAGCATCCTGCTTCTGTTGGATCTTTGGAGTGCATGCGTTTTCACCAAAGGATGAGGAATGCTTTTATGCCTACTTATGATTTTCTTTCTTTAAAGCTTCAACTTTGGAGTCTCTAATCTGTTGGATAAAATCCATTGCTTTTTCTCCACTGCAGGTAGTAGGGTAAAGGGATTTATAGCTGGCATGATGATTATGAAATGTTTATTGTTGAGATTGGTTTGATTTTGTTTGCCACTATGTGTTCAGAAACTTTTGTGTTAATGGGACATCACTTGTCTCTAGATTGTTCCAGGTTCGAGGAAAGTTGTATGAGCTTCTGACCAATTGCATCCCCCCTGAGATCATATTAAAGGTCTTCCTCATTTCCCTGATGCTCTAAATTTCCCTCTTACTGGTTAGTAATTTTTACCGAATGTGTTAATATGTTTTTGATTTCAGAGACTGCTTTATGAACTCTTGAAGAAACTAGATTCTGAACTGAAGCATGAAGTCTCGTACTGGGCGGCATACTATGTAAGTGCATTTTATTGTCGAAAATTGTTTTTTTTTCCCTTTAATTTTTTGTTGACAAATGCTGTTGAATCATTTGAGTAGGGTCTACGCCAGATGTTTGCATTTGCCAACCGACTTGATGTGGAACTTATCTCCCTTTCTGTATATGCACTTGTGTCTATTATACACATGTAACACATACATTTATGTATGTACATACATCTATTCATGTATTACATTTATCATTCTTAGTGAACAAAGTTTTTCTTTTCTGTTTCTTTCTGTGTTTTGCTGTTTGGTCATTACTCTATGGTCTCCAGCCTCGGGAGTTAAAAGTTAGTATTTTCACAGCATGACCTTGTGCCATTGTGTGCACCATGTTCTTGTGCTAATTAGAAATTTTGGTTAGCCAACACTATTTTTTATTTATGAACTGATACCAGTTATTATTCGCCAAGCTTTTTATTTAGAAAAAACATCCAATCTATGTGAGGCTAACAGGAGTGCTTGTTTGCTGAGAATATTTTACAACTCGAGAGGACTAATGAGAAGTGCTTTAGAAAGGATTGAACAAGTTCTTCACAAAGAAACTCAGGAAACTTTTGTAGTTTGCTCAAAAACTCTGCAAATTTATTTTATTTGTCATTATCGTGATTTATTTATTCATTTTTGTTCTTTTTGGGCAGGAGCATCGGATGCGCCTTGGACAGAAGGCAATATTTCATCTTGAAGGTACAATACTTGCCAGAATCTGTCTATTCATCTGCATGTATAAGAAAACATTAGTCCACATACTCTGGAATGCCTCATTATAAAAATTTATTTATATATACTTGTTTTTGCTGCTTGGAATGCAATTGAGTCCTACTTCCTGTTTTCTGAAATGCGCACTCTAGGGAAATGAGTTAATTTGTCTGATTAGTTTTGTTGGCCTGTTGCATGTATGTTAAATTGTCACTATGATTAAGTGACTTAAAAGACACATTATCAGTATTTAGTGGACTATCCATGCTGTGGCCTTTTTGTTTGGCTAAGAGACTTTTTTACATGCTGGTAAGTTTGAAATTCTGGCTTAATTACTTTTTCTTAACTATCACATATCGAGTTAACATAGAATTATCTGTTGTTAGCAGGTTTCTCAGTGGTTGTCTTTTCTGTTAATCAGTAGGAACTCTTTAAGGTGTTTTGCTGTTGTTCATGTCCAAGCCTTGTCTACTAAAACCATCCTAAAGGCATAAGATGACCAGCAATTCTTATTTAGAAAATCATGAACTCTCCTTTTTCCTACTACTGGAAAAAGTTTTGAGTTTTCTTCCTTGTATTGTTCAAAATGCACATGCTGTTTGCATCAGCTTAATTTCTCAGCATAAATTTATGCAGGGTTTTAAAAATTTTCTTTTAAAGGGCTCAGAAACTAAAGCTCCTTGCTTTTGCTACTAATTTCCCGTAAAGAGCTGCGTTATAGAGATTATGCTTGTGTTTCTTGGAAAGTAAATTTACTGGTTTTCCATTTGTTGTGCGTACATAACTGATCCAGTTATGCTTGTTATGTTATCAAGTGCAAGCTAGTAAGACATCTGTGATGTAGGTCGTTTGCATGTTTTGTACTGCGTTAGGCGTTTGAATGAGTACCATTCTCATTGGTTTTCTTATTCACGTTGCAGCATTTGTGGCCAAGTTCATGAGCATTTACAAGGGTTTCCTCATTTCAACATTTGGCTAAAGGAGATCAATGCTGAATTTGTTAGCTTCAACTTTCAAAGATAAATCTTTCTTCGTTCAAATGCTTTGCAGCGATGAAGTTTCAAGTAACGTATGTCTTGGGACTAGTCAGTGGTCACTAGTGTCGAATTCTAGGCGGCAGAATGAACCTGGCTTGGGATGGTCAGATATTATTATTACTTGTGTAGTTACATCTACGCGCTCTCATTTTCTTGTACATATATGGTTATTCTGATATTGTGTTTGCATTTGCACCGTAGAATCAAGTTAAGCTGTGATGAATTCCTTGTGTACGCGTTGCTGCTTCGATATCGCAACTCACTTGAGACTTATTAATAACCAGTGTCATGGAAGCGTATCCTCCGTTTGGATTGGCCTATTTTTTAAAAGTAAATTTTTCAAATACAATATTACAGTAATATATAAATAAAAATAAAGCATTTCATTCATATAATATATCAAATATTTTTAAAAATATTTATAGTAAAAGTTTTTCATATATACTGTTATAGTAAAATATTTAAAAAAATATATTCAAAAACAGTTAATACAAACAGAGCGTATAGTTATTAAACTTGATCCGATAAGGAATCTAGCAAAGGGATTAGATCACTGGTTCAATTAGTGATGCGCTGATTGAACCGGTGAGTATTAATTTAATATTTATAAATATAAATAGTAATTTTAATACACATAAAATATATAATAAAGTGCTTTTCGACACTAATTATTATACTTAGAAAGATATATAATAAATATATAGATATTAATAGAAGATTTAATTTTATTTTCTCATACTTTTAAATAAATAAATAATATAGTCAAGTATAAAACAAAATTTATATCGCTTGTTTTAAAAAATATAGCATTATTTTTTTTATTATTATTTAAAAACAAAGCAATTTTCTAACTAATTAAATATTGTCAGTTTAAAAGTTAAAACATTAATTGTGTAATAAAAAAATAAACAAGTTTATTAAAAAAATTTAATTATCAAATAAAAATTAAATAAGTGGTAAAGTCTGTATATATTTAAATGAAGATCCAATATACAAATCTTATCAAAAGCATATATACATTTTGTTTAAAAAACAAAGACCCACAATTTAAAAAAAAAAAAGTTAAAATAGGTCAATTGAAAAATCGGACAGGTTTCTGATTGAACCATTGGGTCAATCGAGTTTGTCCGGATTTGATCGGGTCAATTTCTTATCCAGTCAAACTAGAGATTCGGTTCGGTCTAATGACTAGATCACTGGGCCGGATCGAGCCGAATTGGGTTTAATAACTATGCATTGAAGGAATAAATAAATCAGTATACAATTTATTTTTAGCACAAATCATCTAAACAACATTGAGCTATTTATATAGTATGTTTTCAAAACTCTATACTTTTTATGCTTAAAATTGCGTGATATTTATGTTAATTAATGAAAAACTTGTTGAATATTTTTCTCCTCTTTTTAGTTTTCTTTTCTTTCCCCTTCCCTTACCTCTGTCCCTAATTCCCACTCGTGTGATTGACTTGATGGGCAATGGTATTTAATTTTCTTGAGATTTCTTACAATCACAAACTCCACATAATTTTAAAACTCATTGGTTCTCGTCAATTGTCAACCTATTGTTTCTTTTTTAATGGTGATATTTCTTCTCGTTAAAGGCCCCCAAAAACATTGTCAAAACTAGACAAGAAATGAAAAAGGGAAAAAAAAAAAAAAGGAATTGTAGACCCTAAATGCTAGCAAATTTCTATATGTTATTTGCACTCAATTTTTTGTTATTTGCACTCCCATCATTTATTTTATCATATAGTATAATAAATGAAAACTATATGATTACAATGATAGTGAGAATGTGATTAACACAAAATGGGAATCCAAATAACATTTGCTTAGTTTTATTACAAAATTATTTGTACAAAATGAAAACCTAAGTAGTGAAGTGCTTAAAAAAAATGCACGATTGCAAATAAAAGTTCTCTCCTATTATATGAAATTATTAACGGCTATCATATAGGTTTTGTTCTCCATGAAAAGTAATTGCTGCAGCTGCAAAAGAAGGTTCAACATAGTAAAATTAATTAATTGAAGGTTATGAGAGAGTCTTCCGCTAAAACCTTAAACTACATGCCACAATACAAAATTGACAAAATTGTAGCCTAATAATTTTTTTTTCAACTGAAATTCGAATTCACTAATACAAGTACATAGTTTGCTTGTCTTCAATTCTCTTGATTTTTTTTAAACTTCTTTCTTCCATCGTGTTATATCTCATTGAGTGTATTTGGATTAGGTGGTTTAGAAAAACTTTAATTTAGATTTCATTTTTTAAAAACATCTTTGCATGATGTTTTTTTAGAGTTTTAAGAGTTATTCAAAACCAACATCCTTTCTCTCTTTTCCTGCTAGCTAGCCAACCATTGCTTCCTATCAGCTTCCATCCTCCTACCATAGGACCACTCTCCCAATCATTCTTACAAACTCCTTCTCTTTTTCCCCTTCTCCCTACTAATCTTTATAGCGCACCTTCCCTCTTTTACCCTTCCCACCTCTCCCCAACCTTCCTTCCTCCCCATTCCTCCACTCCTATCTTCCTCTCTTTGCCACTCAATTTCCCCTTCCTATTCTTCTAAACTCTTAGTTAGCTCCCTACCTCTATCCCTCACGCCCTCCTCCATTGCCCTTTCTCCTTGTTCTCCCTCTTTCTATTGTCCCCACCAACTAGAATAAAGTACTATCACAAATTTTTATGTAAAATATATTATAATATCAAACGTCTGCAGTTTGCTCTTATATGCTCACAAGAATTACGTACATACATATGTGTTGGGATCCAAACGTGAAACCAACGACTATTAAAACATCAAAAATACAACAATTTAATGACAAGCAAGCCACAAGCATAAAAGATGAATAACATACAAGATTTAACATGATTCAACTCCATTATTGAGTCTACGTCCACGAAGAGAAATCTAACGTTTATTATGAGAGGAAAATCATATACAAGAATACATATTGAACCCAATCTCAGTTCTTGTATACTATCTCTCATCTCCCAAGATCCCTTTTTTATCACATGTATAAGGCTACATGTCACCCTTATATGCCTCTTTGTAGTTGGCCAACCTACCTATTTATAGAGAACATTATTTGACTAAGAACCAAATAACAACAGGAAATCAAGACTAATTCCTATTCTCATACAGAATAGTAAATAATTTATAATTCCTACACTCATACAAATAGAAAATTTTTTTGCTATTACTTCAAGTCACTAAAACCAATTAGAAAACTAGTTATTTCCACATAAAATAAGAAACATGTCTAAAAGAAATTAAGCTAATTCCTAACAAATCTCCACTTTGACGAATATTTCTTTTAACAACCATTTACTTTCAACTATCAAATAATGTGGTACCAAACTACACATTCGAATCAATACAGTTCTGACATCAAATTGATTCAATCGTAAATGAATATATGTAGTTACACTGAGTCCAACTTCCTGCTGACTTGCAAGAAAGCACCTCAGTTCACCTTCTTCCCTCGCAGGATTTCTTTTCACTACTAATTGTAACTTAGGACCCCCTTCTATGAGCTCTATTTCTAACCATTGAGGCAACTAAGTGATAAAATCACCATACTTTTTTTTTCAATTCTCAGGACTGTCTTACCATGTGTGGTTTTCAAAACCCCACCTGCAACTTAAAACTCTTAGCTATCAGAGTCTTCTGGTGTTTGAAAACTAGATTTCTTATTTTTTAGGACACATGTCACACCACCTAAAGAACATAATCCGAATCCAACAACCAATTGGGATAAATTATCAACCGATGGAGCTGTGAAAAAGTCTCTATCGATTCATGTCTAAAATCAATATTAGACTTCACCTTTTTCTTGACTCTTGAATCACCTACCTAGATTCACACTATCAAATATCTCCATACTTTCCGACTTCTCATTCTTCACTTTCAATGCTTCTTGCCAAGCCAATGAAATAAGGATATCAACTATTAAGTTGTTCAATTAGTAACAGCCACCAACCCACTTGATTTCAATAATCAACTAAAATCTAACCATGAACCCTGCTCTGATACTAGTTTGCTGGGATTCAATTATCCGTGAGCAGTCCAGTCTCGCAGCCAAGTTCTAATACCACTTGTTGGAGAGAAAAACCTCGAAAGAGCCTATTAAAGAACCCAATATGTAAGTCAGGAACTCAACTCTGATCCAAAAGGTTAAACTATTAGGTCTCAAGTCCTTACGTACATATTAACTGCTCTTTTTTCATCTCTCGATCTAATGTGGAAGATAACTCTTTACTCATGAATCTAACAATCTCCCCCTTCATGAGTAACTCCTCACATTAAGCTCAAGTTTACAAGCTCTTCTTCGATCTCACTTTAATATTCAATGCAAAATCCACCTTAACACTTAAGGTCACCTTCTCTTCCAGTTATGAATCCACTATTTTTCAACATCCAAACTAGATTTCAGTCCCTCACCAACCCTGATCCAACACCAGTCAAACTTCTTGGCACTTCAGTTCACCGACAAAAAGAGAATTTTCACTAGGCTCAACTCCGAGAAAAATTCACTTACCAATGAGTAGTTCAGTCTCGCAACCAAAAACTCTGATACCATTTGTTGGGATCCAAGCACAGAACAAACGACTATTGAGACATCAAGAATACAATAATTTAATAACAGACAAGCCACAAGCATAAAAGATAAATGACATATAAGATTTAAAGTGATTTGACTCCATCATTAAATCTACGTCTACGGAGAGAAACACGTTTTTTATTATGAGAGAAAAACCTTATACAAGAATGCATATTAAACCCAATTTCAAACCCTATTTACCATCTCTTATCTCCCAAGAATGCTCTCTCACCCCATGTATAAGGTTACATGTTACCCTTGTGTGTCCCTTTGTAATATACTAACTTACTTATTTATAAATAACATTATTTGGCCAAAAACCAAATAACAATAGGAAACCAAGACTAATTCCTATTCTCATATAAAATAGTAAATAATTTCTAATTCCTAAACTCATACAAATTGAAAATTCCTTAGCTACCACTTCAAGTAAATAAAACCAATTAGAAAACTAATTATTTGGACACAAAATAAGAAACGTGTCTAAAAGAAATTAAGTCAATTTCCTAATAATACGTACATAGATGTGTGTGTGTGTGTGTGTTAATCTTTTTTAAATAGTAATAATTGTTATCAACATAACCACCATTCCTATTGGTCTTAGAGTCTTGACTTCTCAAGTATTT